AGTACTGTCATGTTTTATAAAAATATATACAGATATCTCCCAACAGGTGGAACAATCCCTGACATTAAAGTTACTAGAATCTGGTAACTTCTGCCATTTTTGGGCAAAAATCATGCGTTCTCTCTCTGACACAGGAGCCCAATGGATTGCGGTACTTTCTATATTTAGTGACTAGTGAAAATTTTCATTCAGCGCCCCCTGTTATGTAGGACAGATCACTAAATTGGGTAGCTGAATTAGCGCGTTTATGAACCACTCAAAGCCGCGGCTTTACGAATTCATTTATAATGTCTGACCTTGAACTGATAAATTTACGTGCATTCTCTTTAAATAAATCAATGAATTTTTCACTTTTCTTTACTGCTCGACCTTTCAAGAGGATGCATTCCGTAAAAAAAATACATTGATTGTACGTCTGTCGAATAATTTAAAACCTTGCAATTCTATAAAATGTGCGAAACGAAATCAAATACGCACACAACAATTAATAGTAAGTATCGAAGGTTCATTAAATAATAAATTTGTTGAGGGTTTTGACAAACTTATTGTCCCTATTTAAATTCGAGTGCATAAAGATTACAAGATCTGTACCGCACATTATAGATAAGGTTTATTAATAAATTGATCGTTTGCTCGTTGGAAATTTCAAACCAATTTTTAAACTTCTCGTGTACCTACTTCCGATACAATTCCAAATAATCTTCATGTCCGATTATTCGCTTCGAACAGTCTATTTAGTTTTTTTTTGTAGAAATTAATGTTACGCATCATTTTTCTATCTTTTTCTGCAGGAAAAACTGAAAAATCACCACGTTAGTAAACCACGCTCGGGTATGGCGCTCGGATGTCACCGACCCCACATCATGTAGCCCCGCCCCTAAAGAATTGTTAATTATGCGGCCCAATAGGTACAAGTACACTCCTCATCTTTCTATAAGCGATCTTCTACGGGGTCTAATTTGCTGCCAGCCAACTAGCCAGCCGGCCAAAGCGAGATTAAAACCCACCGTTTTACAAATAAATTTGCAAAAAATGCGTTAAAAAGAGATAATTACAAAAAAAGTTTAATCACTGTTTGCTGCTAAACAATGGCCTAGACGGTCCTAAAACTGTCGTCCTAACTTCAAATTCAATATGGGCATAGCTTTAGCCATATAATACGCAATGCCAAAAGTTGAGTCGAATCGATTCAAAATTCACAGTGCCCTTTTCGCATCTCGACTAATTTATTATAAACCGAATTGCAAACTTTTTTATTTATGGAAGCATTTAAATGAAATTTGATGCATAGCCACTTGAAACAAAGGAAAATCTAACGTAAGTTTCAAAATTTAGGTTTGCGCATGCGCAGTGACAATTTTCTTATTTATGAAAGCATTGAAATGAAATTCTTCTTATAAACTGAAATTGAAGTAGGACATCAAAATGGACTGCACATATGCAACGCTATCTTTCATATTTGTGGCCGGATTTTTACGATTTTAATAGAAGTTGCATCTGACAAATGAGAAATGAATGCAAGTGGAAATGCGCTTTTTGTAAATCGTTTACGGTTACTTTTTTAACTTGTTGTCTTTAGTATTGAGTGTGCGGGGTTTCAGCTAAGGCTGCTCACCAACCTAACACACATTTACAAATACCCATGCCAGTACCTGGATTCGAACCAGGGACCCTTAGTACCGCAGTCCAGCTTCAACTCAACTGCGACACACGGGCTGGCTTAAGAATGACGTTATTGTTTGTAAAAACATCCAATCACATGTCTTAACAACACTGTTAGTTGACAACATAGTTCAGTATGCTTTATATTACGGGCCGATAATCATTTTGAAATTAACAATTTTGTGGTTTTCCCTGTATTTCTTACCCGAGCGAAAATTTTCATTTTACCGTATTAAGTTTTAAAATTTAAAAAGAGCACATGCCCAAAAATAAGTTACAACCAACAACTTTTTTTTTAATGAAAATTCATTTTTATTTTCTTTTGGAATTTTACAGTGTTTCATGTACAGGGTGTCCCACTTTCGACACTTTTATAGGCGTTATGGCCTCTTTTTGGGTCAAACTTGCAATGGTAAAATCAAAATTTGCACATTTTTGCTTCAGAGATACGGAGATAAATCAAACAATTTTCAATTTCAGAATGACCGTATATATTCTTAGTAAAAACAGAAACAAAAAAATGTTTCTTGAAAATTATTGATAAATAATCTGCCGTTTTCAAAATAAATAATTATACAGTACTATCGGGTAAAAAAGTTATTGGATCTAACTTCATTTTACTTAAATGGCATAGCTTGTATATTTCAATCTAAAAATAGCATATTAAATTCTGTTTTTTCAATATAACACTAAAAAAATTCAATATCGATTCAAAAAGGTTCAAAAAAGATTTCTTAAACATTCAAAAATTCGTTTGTAGTAATTTCTAATTTTTTCAGTGTCAGAAGAAATGGCGATAGTTCGTAGAGTTTGTTGAGACCTTTAATTAGAATAGGTACCATGAATGGGTAAAACGTGTGGTTGCCCCCCCCCTTCCCATTTTCAAAAGTTTGCCATTAAAGGCATGCGCATGTAAAATCTGAGATGTAAAAGTTTAGGACCACTCCCGTAAAAGCACCAGCGCTAAAAAACGCGCAAAAAGTTGCCGATCTACCTTTCATTGCATTGCTGGTTACTGGTTGAGTGGTTAGATTGTAGAGATTGGTCTGGTAAGAATAAGATGCAAGTTGTCTTCCGTGGATGAAGATGAAGGGGCCATAGAAAATTTTGGAAAATTCTGAATTAACGTATTGCAAAATTCCTCTGAAAGTCACAGAAGTGGAAGCAGCTCCTGGCAAACTTCTGTTCAAAAGTTCTTCTGGAAAGATGCTAGGAATTTTTGAATACTTTAATTCAATCATCTGTCAGTTTGGCATCATTGCCGTGAGGAACAAGGATAGCGTTATCAAAGAATTACTTAAATTAGTAAGAGAGGCATTTAGTCCATAAGACCCCATACTGAGTATGAAGGTGCGAATTTTGTGTGAATGCGCTATAAACTCCACGACAAATTCGCAAGACCCTGTTGCGAAGTAGTTTACATCATATATATATACTTCTCTTATATATATGGTTTACATTGTTGCCGTGTACCAACAAAACCGTCGAAAAATCCCCAACTAATTCATAACTAACATAACCACACTCTTTTTTTTTGTTATTTTTTTAATTTAAATAAATATTGTGCAATGTCCGCCTACGAATTAGAATTCGCTTGCTTAATACGTAAGACTCCCAAAGTACACGTACGATAAATACACTCTACTTTATAGCAAAATCAAAATCGGAAGACTTGACCCAAGAGCCCTTCTTCACCTACAAGTCGACCGAATATAAAAAGACCTTACGTTTCCGAATACCGGCCTGCAAACCGATAACATCCCGCTTGGGAAGGTTCTGGAATTGGATGCGCTTTGTATGGTCTCACAGTCGTTCCAGAAAATATCGCCGAATTTGCTACACTTTTGTGTAAACGAGATTCTTGGATTGCATTGCAATTAATCCTCTTCTTGTAGATTATCAGTCTTGATCATTTTCTTGACGACCGTCTACATAGCCACGCCTTTGCTCTTCAAATTCTCGTCGTCAGTTCGTCGACACGTAATTTTCAGTCCGAGTATGTGTCGCCGGTGTTTCACCGTCAATTTTAACGGGGGTCTCTTTCAGCTGTTGCCCCTCACGGCTCCTTTAACGAGGTGATAGAAATTTACACCGATTACAATTCGAAGACGTTATACAAACCCAAAAATCTATACGTCGCGGTTAACAAAGAGGGTAGCGCTCGATTGGGAGTTTGGCGTTTGTCGCAACACGCAATTAGACCATCGTCCGGCGGGTACAACCGACAGTTGCCCGTCGACAACGTCACCACTAATAACTATCTGCTGTACTTTCACGACGGCTACGGGAATCGACGCGACTACATTACGGATTATTCGAAGTTATCTTATTTATTTAACGTGATCGCCTTTGATTATCGAGGTAAGTGGAGGGGAGGTTGAGCGGTAAAACAACTTCAAATTTTGTTTAGTCATTCTAAAAATTCGAGAAAAGGTCTTAACAAATTCTGGAACATTTCAAAAAAATTCTAAAGAAATTCTAGAAAATGCTAAAAAAATTTAGAAAAATTCTAGAAAATTTCAAAAATTTTAGAAAAATTGGAAAAAAATCTAGAAGCTTCTGCAAAATGCCACAGTGACTTTCCCATTGGAGGGTGCAGGTAATATGTGCGCGAATTTCGTCCATCCATCCATCTGAAGGTTTGAGATCTTAACATTGAGAACTGAAATTACATGTACCGGGTGACCCAACAAGACTGTTGCTCGGCCATATCTCGAGAACCGTTCGTCGTATGACTTAGGGGTGAACAAATTGTTGGGTAAATCGGTCTTGAAGAATCGCTGGAAAATATTTTCAAGTTCTAAAAATGGGCAACAGAGGGCGTAACTGCCTTCTTAAACCAGTTTATCTATCATTTTCGTAAAAACAAAAACTCAGTTATTTCAAAAACAAAGATGGTGTGGGGCGTTCAATTGTTTTTGCAATAACCTTCTTTAACTACTTAACGGTTTAACCGATTTTAACAAATTTGGTATGTTTGAAAAGAGCATTCCTTGGGCAATGGGAATCAATCATACCATTCCATTTGATTTTTTGGATTTTTTTAGGATTTTGGGTCATAGTGTCAAAACTAGCCCCCTGGCGGAGAAGGATTCAACTAAATTAACTACATTTGATTGGTTGATTCTTGTTGTCCAAGGAATGCTCTTTTCAACAATACCAAATGTGTTACAATCGGTCAAACGGTGAAGTTAAAGCAGGTTATTGCAAAAACAATTGAACGCCCCACGCCATCTTTGTTTTTGAAATAACTGAGTTTTTGTTTTTACAAAAATGATAGATAAACTGGTTCTCTTTGAAAATGTTTAGTTTATTATGCGAAATTTAAAGAAAATGCAATTTTAAAATTTAAGATGGCAGTTACGCCCTCTGTTGGTCATTTTTAGAACTTGAAAATATTTTCCAGCGATTCTTCATAACCGATTTACCCAATAATTTTTTTTGCCCCCAAGTCATACGCGAACGGTTCCCGAGATATGGCCGAGGAACAGTCTTACTGGGTCACCCTGTACAATCACAATATTATTTTAAGCATACGGCGATTCGTACGATGGCAGCTTAAACGAGGAGGGGCTCGTGCGTGACGGCGTGCAGCTGTACAAGTGGTTGCGTTCGCAGGTGAACGCCAGCATCTACTTTTGGGGAGACAATTTGGGGTCCGCGATAGCCGCTCACACGGTAGCTCAATTGGAGAGGGAGAATCTGTATCCGTGCGGAATTCTGTTGGAAAACGGGTTCACGACGATGGGAGAACAGTTGGGGTACTCCTGGTTTATCGCGCGAGTAATGCATCGCGACCGTAGTGCGATTTTCCATAATCATTTGTAGATGAATTGGTATACGCCTTGGTATAAAACCGTTATAACGGACACGCTGGCCGAGAACGATCTTTCTTTTAATACCAACAAGCACTTAAATGAAATCAGTTGTCCCATTCGCTTTTTGGAGTGGGAGTATCATAGAGCGAAACGTTTTAATGTGAAGGTAGGTGCGCTGTTGATGGTTTTTGTGATGGAAACCGATATTTTAGACATCGTACGATGACTACTATTCCCAAGGCTTCTTATTGAATGCAAAGAATGCGATCAGTTTTAATCGCTATTATAAGACTGAAAGGGTTTGGACTGACCAGAACTTTTTGAGGTTTCTGTTGTAACTCAGAGTTGAACGCTGCTCACCATTATCTTTCAGGTCATTTGTCAAGGACGGCAGGAGCCACTGTGACTCTAAGAAACTATAGCAATGTTAAGTGTACTTTTTTGTTTTTAATTCTTTAAATAAATGTCTATTCTTACAATTGCAAAACACAGAGAGTGCAGTGGAAATGTTTTTGTTATTATTAAATAGTGACACCTAGCGATCGCCAACCTTACAGCACATAAAAGAGAAGATAAGGCTGCAAACGGCGAGAGATAAAAGTGCAAGGGGGTGGGGGGCGACGGAAGAAGCTAGAAGAGAACACGAGTGGACAGAAGAAAACAGTAGAAGGCAGATACGGACGGAAGGGAGGGGCTAGGAGATGAGTGAGCCAGCAAAAAGTAAGTCAGAAGAAGGCAAAAGACAGTAGGATAGTAGAAGAGCGAGTCAGATAGGGTAGAAGAGGACAATAGCAAGCTTACGTTCTTCCATAGTCGTTTCTATAGAAACAGCATTGTATTATGTTCTGAACTTCATGTTAATTCGTGCTGCGCGTCCCATTTGAAATAAGAATGGCACATGTTATTGGGTTGCAGAACCATCTGTTTCACTTTATCTACCCTTACGGTTAAAGAGATGACTTAGCCTACTCATTCGAACCTATTAAAATGTCAATTTAATATCTGCTATTATAAAATAAACAAACAAACCTGTTTCAGTAATTTTACTCAAAATCAAAAGATTGGAGCACAACAGTTTTTATGTAAAATGTGAATAATAACAAACGGTGACGAAATTCGAAAATTAATGGTTAGTACCGGGTGACCCAATAAGACAGTTCGTCGGCCATATCTCGAGAACCGTTCGTCATATGACTTAGAGGTAAAAAAATTATTGGGTAAATCGATCATGGAGAATCGCTGGAAAATATTTTCAAGTTCTAAAAATGACCACCAGAGGGCGTAACTGCCATCTTAAATTTTAAAATTGCATTTTCTTTAAATTTCGCAAACTACACATTCTTTTTTCGCACCAGTTTATCTATCATTTTCGTAAAAACAAAAACTCGGTTATTTCAGAAACAAAAATGGTGCGGGGCGTTCAATTGTTTTTGCAATAACCTGCTTTAACTTCTTAACCGTTTCACCGATTTTAACAAATTTGGTATAGTTGAAAAGAGCATTCCTTGGGCAATGGGAATCAACACCAAAATATAGTTAATTTAGTTGAATCCTTCTCCGCCAGGGGGATAGTTTTGACACTGTGACCGAAAATCCTAAAAAATCAAATGGAATGATTTGACTTTTTCTTTATGAAAAAGTAGACAAATAACATCTAAAGAGGCCAGTGGAAACAGTATCTTAAATTTACTTTTTATGTATTTCCGTTATTTGTCGATGGCGCGAAAGAAAAGCACCCCACACTTATCAGTAGGCCTTGGAAAATTAAACAAATGAAACATGATGCATTATAAAATAATAACAGCCGTAATTTGTAAATTATTCTGCTGTGTTTACATTCAGAAAGTGCACTTTTTTGAATTTGTAATCTTTTCTAAAATACCCATTTCTAACCATGAAGCATTGAATATGCTGGCGAAATATTTTGAGTATTTTCAAAATGCGACCATCGCTGCCCGCATCTTCTATTTGCGTTATCCGAATCGACCACGAACCATCGCCGCCAGCATATTAAATGCTTCTTGGTTAGAAATCGCAGGGTTGGCAAAAATCTGGGTTTTTGTATGCTTTGGGTGGGGTTTTGGGTATTTGTGTTGGGTTTTTGTGTTTTTCTTGGGTAATTGGGTAATTTTTGGGTATTTGTCGAATTTTCGGAACTCTAACCTCAAATTATAGAAAAATAACATTCATTTTGAACTTAAGACTGCCCGATGAAGTAGAAAAGCTTGTAAAAATAATAAAAATGAGCCACTTTAAAAAAGAGAAAAAGTTGTTTTAGGTTTTTAATTATTATTTTTATTTTATTTTGTTCCTAATGAATAAGCCGTTTTGTATTTTTTATTTTAATGGAAATTTTTTTTTACTAGGAATAAGAATATAAAGACTAATCTATCAGTACCTGTCTGTTTCCAAGTAAAATATATTTTATTTTGTTTTTGTTTCTAATGAAAAAGCCGTTTCGTATTTTATATTTTAAAGTAAAATGTTCTTGAAACTTAGGAATAAGAATGTAACACTGATCTATCAGTACCTGTCTGTTTCCAAATAAACTACATTATATTTTGTTGTTAAATACTATATAAAAATTATCTCGATTTTGTCTCATTCTGTGTCTCAAATTCTTTGGGCTTTTGTATGGGTTTTTGTGTTGGGTTTTTGTATAGGTCGTTGGGTGAGTTTTTGACACAAAACCCCGTGGGTTTTTAAATGGGTTTTTCGTTTTGCCAACCCTGAGAAATCGGCATTTTAGAAAAGATTACAAATTCAAAAAACTGCACTTTCTGAATGTAAACACAGCAGAATAATTTACAAATTACGGCTGTTATTATTTTATAATGCATCGTGTTTCATTTGTTTAATTTTCCAAGGCCATCGACAAATACCGGAAATACGTCAAATAAGATCCAATTTAAGGATTTTTATTAATTAATTAATTAATCTCATTTTTCCAACATTTGAGGTTAGGAACGATATTTTGAAAAACGGTTTCACTGGCCTCTTTGGGTGTTATTTGGCTACTTTTTCATAAAGAAAAAGTCATATTATTCCATTTGATTTTTTTTAGGATTTTGGATCATAGTGTCAAAACTAGCCCCCTGGCGGAGAAGGATTCAAATAAATTAACTATATTTTGCCCTTGTTGCACTAGGAATGCTCTTTTCAACAATACCAAATTTGTTACAATCGGTTAAGAAGATAAAGCAGGTTATTGCAAAAACAATTGAACGCCCCACGCCATCTGAACGTTTCTGAAATAACTGAGTTTTTGTTTTTACGAAAATGATAGATAAACTGGTTCTCTTTAAAAATGTGAAACAAGAATGTTTAGTTTATTATGCGAAATTTAAAGAAAATGCAATGTTAAAATTTAAGATGGCAGTTACGCCCTCTGGTGGTCATTTTTAGAACTTGAAAATATTTTCCAGCGATTCTTCATAACCGATTTACCCAATAATTTTTTTTACCCTCAAGTCATACGACGAACGGTTCCCGAGATATGGCCGAGGAACAGTCTTATTCAGTCACCCGGTACAAGAAACAAGAAAGTGATTACTACAGGTAATTGAACTTTTGAAAAAACAACAAACAAAATGAACAGTCTGAATTACACAAAATCCCTGTTCAGCATCTGCGCAGAAAGATTGCTGTATATTATACAGAGCGTTTTTAGAACTAAGACTAAACGGTTTTGGTTACGCGATGTAATCTTGCGTAGATATAATTAATAAAAAAAAGAAAATTCAAACATTTCTCAGATTCTGAAGAAAATGAAGAAATGTAAAAGAACATTTATCTGAAGAATTCGAAGTGGAAGAATCAACAAGACACTGACACTGAAAGATTTGACAGGTATAAACGCTTGAGGAATCTTAAAAAAACGAAATAATTTTAAGAATCGGCAAGAATCTAAGAGCATGAAAAAATTAAATAATTCTGATCTGATGGATTTGAGGAGTTTAAAGAAACTGAAGAATCGCAAGAGATTCCATTTTTCTCTTTGAATTCTTAAATGTTTCAGATCGTTCAACTTCAATCTTCAAGGATCATCTGAAGAATGGAAGAACTCCCAAGAAATACACAAGAATACGAAAATCTTTAAGCTTTCAGAATCTGATAAATATAAAACACAGGAAAAAAACTAAACTCTAACGAACCCGAAGAAACGGAAGAAACCTGGATAAATTCGAGGAACCTGTAGATTTAGAAGACTATAAAATCAACAGTATTTAAAAATGAAGGTTCGGCTGAATCCAAAGATTTTCCACGAAATATAAAGTTTGATAAATCAACAGATTTATTTCTTGTTTTTTTTTTAAATAGTGGTGTTACTGGCAACACTGGAATAGTTGTAACCTTTGAAAGCCAAAAAAAACCAATAAAAACCTCGTTTGATTCTTATATATTTGTGATGTATTGGTAATTTTCTTTTACTTTTTGTAACGCGAGTATTCCATCCTAAAGTTAAACCATACATTTTTATTTTGTCCATATTTGTTTATTGTAATGTAGCGTTATGAATGAAAAAAAAAACCATTTTTTTAAATTTAAATTTCGAATTGATCAAGAAAGGTAAATCTATGTACAATCCGAAAACGGGTAGCAAAATTAGTATAAGTCAAAAAAGCGTAGTGGTACCTATTTTTTAATGTAAACAGCCCGCTTGCAAAAGAAGAATTTTGTAAATTAAAAGTTCTAGTAAGTAGATCAGGAACCGGTACCGTACCAGTACCAAAAAATAATTATTTTTTAAGAAAATGGAGGTGGGGTGTTGGCCACCCGCTGGTGGCGCAAGTGATCCCACTGAACCCCCGAAGGCTTACTTACCTTTTATTGGTACCTCTAAGTCAGGCAGCTTGAAATCGGAAGAATTGGCTCCAATACTTCTTCATAGTCTGATTCACAGAGCAAATCCCCTTACTTCATACAACTGGTATGACTAAGAATTCATAGTCATACTGGTTAATGTGAAGTAAACTGATGATACTCCGCGAAAGACCATTCGAAGAATTATTGTAGTCAATCTTACGTCAACAAGATGACAGACTTAGAAGACCATCTTTCATAATTCATCATGTGCACTGTTCACTTTTCCCCCCACACATATAATAAAACATGCTATCCTACCTTTATATGCTCTTCCGTAATCTGAAACAAAGAATAAATTTACGATAAAATGATGAAACAGATGCAATATTGTTTGGTTAGTGCCATAAGTAACTTTAATAAAAACATGTAACCAAGCTAAGTTAAGGGAATTCGGGACCAATAAATCTCTGAATGAAAATTTCATTTGGGATTTAGCATAGGTAATCTTTGCTGATGGTATCATCTATAAATGTGGTTTTGGTGATGCCCTTTACTACGGCCTCAAAAAAAGCTTGAAAACTTACCCTTGAATTTAATTTAAATTAATTCGTTCACACCAGGAAGAACGACGCACTGCATTTCACGTTGGCGGACATCTGATAAACGACCACCGATGGTAACTGAA